ACTGCAACCTCCGCCTCCTGGGTTCAAGCAATTGTCCTGCCTCAGCCTCCCGAGCAGCTGGGACTACAGGCATGCGCCACCATGCCCAGCTAATGTTTTGTATTTTTAGTAGAGATGGGGTTTCACCATGTTGACCAGGATGGTCTCGATCTCTTGACCTCGTGATCCAACCGCCTTGGCCTCCCAAAGTGCTGGGATTACAGGCGTGAGCCACCGCGCCCGGCCTCTTGTAAATTGTTTAAGGATAGGCCCTATAGTACATTTTGAAAACCTCTCAACACACCTGGCATACACTGCTCCTACAAACCAAGGACTAAGAGCTTCACAAGTGTTTGCCTTACAAGTGCGTGAATAAATGAATGAATATCCAGCAAACACTGAAGTTTGCTGTTGTCTTAACTATCCTTTTTCACCTACACTAGCCCAAAACACACATGAACAAACATGTGCCCACAATTATGCCAAAAAGTGTTTCTTTACCCAATTTAAGACATTAACTGCTGAGAAGATATAATGTTGAAATAAAATTTATTATACAAAATCAACTTTTTCAAGAAGCTTTTACAGTATACAACTGTCCTATGCAATGAGCAAAACCATCTTTTATTCTCCTGGTTCCCCTAAATCATTGTGACATTATGACTCTTTAGATCAGAATTCTTACATCTCAATTTTTTAAAAGCTTTTTATTCTCATGATTCCTATAAATTCATATTCAGTTTTCATTTATATAGAGCCAATTGGTCAAACTAGAAGACAGACAGTAAATCCAAAACCAAATGAACAAATTCTTCACTAGTTTTAACTTTTCATTGTTGCTTTTAAACAAAAAATCATTGGTCAAGTTTTCTCAAAACAGTCTGGAGATGACCAAACATAGGAATAAAATGAGATGCAAAAAAAGAAACAAATCCAAGGGGAAGACGTTACGGGCAAGGTAGGGCAGATGATCTTTTAGGACCTTGCTTTATTGGGATAAAACAGAAATGAACAGTAAAGTACCCTGGTCAGATAAGAAAATTTTTGGATGAGAAACTCCAGATGAAGGGATAGCACTATCATTAGGCACAGTCATTTGTCAGTATCTGTTTTCTTGTTGAGAAGCTACTTTAGAGGCTACTGTACCATTTTTCTCTCTCTCTTCCTCTTAAATGGCCACTGGGCCTGTTCAGGAGGGGTATTGTGAATACCCAGCTACAGCCAGAGACACAAAGCTTGGCAGGTTTCTCTCTGAGAACTATGGTCCCCAAGAATGGCAGCTCCCGCAGGCAAGAAGCTGGTAACCACACAAAGCCTGGCGGTCCATGAGTGGCCTTTGGTGGACAATTTAAAAGTGACAATCTCCCTGACACATCTTCCTGGCTCAATTAGGCTATGTAAAAGTTTTTCAAATAAATAGAGATATGCTAAAATATAAATGATATTACCTAAATTCCTGACTGTAAGCATTACTCAGAGGATCTTATGGAACTTGAAACACAGGTATAGATAGATACATGAAGTCGAAAGCATCCTCTTGAATTCTAAGTAGTAGAGAGAATCCAGCCCTCTTCTCCACCTTTTGGTTTCTGGGATGCGAGTGGGGAGGGAGAGTGTTGAAGGCAGTCACATGGGCACAGATTTATTTTACACAGACTCCCATAGGTGTTGTTTCAGAGTGTTTCCAAGCTTTACAACCCGAAGCCAGAAAGATTTTTACTTTGGAGGTACATTTTATGAAAAATGTGTTCTTAGCTTATTTCTTGAGTGATGAACTCTCTACTGGGTGGAGGGCTTCAGAGATACAGTTTTGGCACAATGCATGCATCGGGCAGTCACCAAAGTTCTTTTACCACCAGCTAAGCATCTATGAGCAAGTACATCACTTAACCACAAGGAGAGTTACTTGCCTCCTGAGTTTGAACTTCACCAGTGATTCTCAAATCTTGGTATGTATAGGAGCGTTTATTTAAAAATGAAGATTTATGGACCAAAGAGCCAAAGATTCTGACTCAGTCGGTATAATAAGAAGGATTCAGAAATCTACATCTTTAATGAATATCCCACTGTGCGCTACACTTTGAGAATCTCTGGTCTAATTGATTTGGAAGATCACTTCCAGCACTAACATTCTAACATTCTGTGAATTTGTCCTTTCTTTAGCAACCAGTCTCAGATAGCCTGGCACTCCCTCGATGTCCATCTGCCGTGTGGGAACAATGGTACACAGGGAGCAGGAGCACCAACATCTACTCTAGGCAGCATAGGAAAGACGATAGGGCCAGTTGGGTTGTTGTTCCTTCACTGGGGTAAAAACTAACATCCTTGTCTCTGACACCCAGGTGACAGGTGGAGTCTGGAATTTCAGCCGCATTTGCTGCGATGTTTTTGTCACCCTGGATGTCATGATGTGTACAGCCAGCATCCTGAATCTCTGTGCCATCAGCATAGACAGGTAGGGTTGCAATTCCCCCTCCAGGTGGCCCAAAAGCTGGGGAAGTGGGGAGAGACAGGTTTTGCATTTGAGGGTACTGGGGTAACCTCCAAGTAGAACTTGACGCGGGAACATTTTCTTTCTTTTTCTTTTAAAGTATGGTTTGCAGGTGAGAAGAAACCCCTGCGACAGCAGGGAAATAATGACCCTATAAGCTTCCCTAGCCTTTCTTCTCCTCCAACTCCCTGAGAAGGATTCTGGCGCTGCTTTTCCACCATCCTTTGGGGGCTTTATTGCTTTCTACTAGGAATGCAAGGAGGGGGGCAGAAGGAGGAAAAGTGAGCTGACTGGGGTTCGTAGGAAATTCTGTTATTGTTTTGTTTGTTTTTGTTGAAGGGAGAGATAGAGAGAAAGTGGGGGGGCAGGTATAGGGATAATTTTTGAGGGCGAGAGGGGAGAGAAGTGAGGGAGAAGGGCAATTTTAGAAAGCATGGACATGATCTATATGTCTCTCTTATAGAGCTTAGAAAAGGAAGTAAAGAATAGTATGTTATTTAAAATTACATCTTGTTTGCTGGGATGAATTGCTATGATTTTGACTCCTCTCTCTGTGTGTGCCGCCTGAGTAGCATTGCTTTCTATCCCTGAGGGCACTTGGACTCACCACCCTTGCTCTGGGTCCCTCTGTTTCTCCCTTTCCCTCTCCTTTTGCCTTCCTCTCTTCTTTCCCCTTTCCTCTCCCTGAGCCTTAGATTTGTCATGGCTCCCCAGGACATCGCCAGCCCCACTGAGAGCCCTGGGGAAAGGAGGTCACATTTAAGCCTATGGCCCTTGACACCCATCAAGAGCCACCTCCTTTTCCTCCTCTGAGTTCTCTCCTTCCCACTTCCCCTTCCACATTTTCCGCCCCAATAATATCATCCATCCACCTCATAGCTCCACAGGTGACCCCAAATAAGATCTGCCATTTATTGAGAATCTATCACATTGTGCCAAGCTTTGACACACATTAACTCATTTCATTTTCACAATTCTTAGGTACTGTCATTATCTTCAATTTCCAACTTCTTAGAGTACTTAAGAAATTTGACAAGACCACACCACTAGCACAGGGCCACACAGGATTAGAATTCATGTCTATTTGACTTGAAGTAAATAATCTCAAGCTTTGTGCTAACCTCCCTAAATCTCCAACTGCATTTATGCCTTCTCCCCTGAGTTCCAGATCACATTACTGCCTGGATATTCCACTTGTTCCTCTTATGCCAGTTGTTAAAAACCAAACCATTAAAGCACCAAATCATCTTGACATGGTGATCTCTTCTTGACAGCATCTTTCTCCTGGAATCTTGTGTGTTGTTTGACTCCTTTCTCTTCCTAATCTTTCATATTCAAGAGGTTGGTGTTTATAGACCCTATGTTTGCCTTTTTTTCAGATTTTTCTCTGCTTTGTCTTTCTTGCTGCCTCCTACTTATTTGAAGATCCTATGACCCCTTACCTAAATTCTGCTGCACTTTCTAACTGGTCCTTCATATCACTGACAAAATTGTTTCCCCAGAAGTAAAGCCCCAGTGGCCATTCCCCCACTCAAAACCCCTCAGTGTCACCTGGGCTTACTGAATGCAAGTTAGAATTACCTCCACAGCCTGGCATTCAATGTTTTCCACAATATGGCCTCAAGCACTCCTTCCTTCCTTCCTTCCTTCCTTCCTTTTTTCCCTCCTTCCTTCTTTCCTTCGTTCCTGCTTTCCTTCCTTTCTTTCTTCCTTTTATCCTTTCCCTTTTTCTCTCTCTTTCTCTCTCTCTTTCTCTTTCTTTCTTTCATTCTCTCTCTCTCTTTCTTTCTTTCTTGTTGTTTTGAGTCAGAATCTTGCTCTGTCTGGAGTGCAGTGGTACAGTTTCAGCTCCCTGCAAACTCCGCCTCCCAGGTTCAAGCAGTTCTCCATCCTCTGCCTCCTGAGTATCTGGAGTTACAGGCACCCACCAGCCTGTCTGGCTAATTTTTCCATTTTTAGTAGAGATGGGTTTTCACCATGTTGGCCAGGCTGTTTTCAAACTCCTGGCCTTAAACAATCCACCTGCTTCGGCCTCCCAAATTGCTGGGATTACAGGAGCGAGCCACCATGCCCAGCCTCAATCCCTTTTCATCTCTTCCCAGGTCACCCCATATCCTCATGCTCTAAGATCACAATGGTCCTCTTTTCCATAAAGCCCTTTCACAGTCCCGCAGTCTGATTCAGTCACCCTTGAACCCTCATAATGCTTTCTATGCTTTCTCTGTCACTATGTTGTGGCGTCTCCAGCCCGCCTTTTCTAGAGGTCCTAGCACAGGCCCCCTCAATGGCCCAGTGTTTTGCCCTCTATAGCAACAGCCTCGCACTTCCTTTTATGTGCCGAAACGGGAATTTTGAAGAATAATAAAAAAATGAATATGAAAACGCTTTCCTCTGGTGATCCTGCAAGCCAATCAGCCAACTGGATGATTTTTTATTTATATCACTTGGTTGGCTATCCAACTGAGAGGAAAACTAAAGAACATGTCCACAATGCTGCAAATAATACCATTAAAGAGTGTGCTTAAAATAGAGGGATCCAAGTGCAGTAGCATGTGCCTGTAATCCCAGCTACTTGGGAGGCTAAGGTGGGAGGATTGCTTGAGGTCAGGAGTTTGAGGCCAGCCTGGACAGCATAGCAAGTCCTCATCTCTGCAACAACAACAACAAACTATAGGAATATAACTGCATCATTCTGTGAACATACTGATATAACATTGAACTATACACTTTGAGTGGATGAATTGTGTGGTATGTGAGTCATATTTTAACAGAGCTGTGTAAAAAAGTGAAGAGTTGGGGATTTTACAATATTTTTAGCTCTAACAGCTAAGTCTTTTGTGTAATTTCTAGACATTTAGTACACATTTTCAGGAATACATTATTTACAGACGTGGAGGACTGCAGCTGGTTTGCTTCATCATCACCTCCCCAAAGCCTTCTATAAGACCTAGCTCCTGATCACCTGCGACCCTCTCTGCTATGCCCATTATAGAGCCTTGAACAAAGAGTGTTTCAGCTGAATTCAGTGGTCCCTGCTTGGAGGTAGCCAACGTTTATACCATAAAGTAGGCACTTTCGGAAAGGACATGAGCGAATGGGAGAGAGTTTGCTTTGTGAGGAGGGGGAAGAACCGTAGAAGGAAGAGCCTCCTCAGCACTCCTAGTTCCTGAGTCTCCTCTCTTCCCTCTTGAGAATGTGCCTATACACTTCACCCACACGTATTCACAGGCACTTAGGGCTGTGGATGAGATTGTGAAGGTTGTGCCCTCCGCAAGGGCGTGGGAATGAAATTCAGCCATCACTCCTTCTTCCAAGCCTAGAGTTGCCCAGGAGAGGTGCCTTTCTCTAATGTGCACAAGAGCACCATTTTGCCGGCAGCAGCCATGCTTAACACACACTTCCAGTTTTTACCACTTACAACGCAACCAACAAGAGTAACTTTGAATTGACTTCTGTCCCATATGGGAAAACTCCGAGAATATACAGCACTTACCTACCCGAAGGGACCAGACACACCTTAGCTCCCAAGCAAAAAGGAAGCTCCCTTCTTGGTTCATATTTCTATATGAGCCAATGAACCCTCACCAAAACTCAAAATGGAGCCCCCTCCTATTCTAGAAATGAAAACAGGCCTTGGAAAAGCTGGATTCATTATTCTTCACAGCAGTTTGCAGTACATAGCATTAAATTCTGTTCGTGGGATGACAAATAGCTGGTCAATTCACTAAAAATGCAGTCATTCACACAGATCTTTGGTCTTCACACAATGCCAGTCACCAATCTGACAAACTTAACCAAATGGATTCAGTATTTTTTGGTCATGAAGCCCTGGTCTGTAATAACAGTGTGGAAAGAGATACGAAAGAAAAGGAAATGATAAAAGGGTTTTTGAAAGCAAGTAATACTATTGTCATTAGATTCTTAGGCATAGCTCTGATGCTTGGATTAATGCTGCCTTTTCTTTTTTAAAAAGCAGAGTGGGAAGTCCTCTGAGCACAAGCCCCCACTCCTTTAGCTCCCTGCCTCCCCAGGGGGCCAGCCCCCCTCCCATCTCATCCTGGGTCCAAGCTAACTCAGGGAGAGGGCTGAGAATGTGTCAGAAGAGGAGGACACAACCAAGTGGTGAGAATTAGAGTCCTCCGAGAGGAGCCCAGGAATAATGCAGCCAAATTCATTCACCAGGGAGTTCTTTAAGTGGCTCTCAAATGGCACCCATCACACAGGCAAGCCTCCGCGTCTTTGCAGCGAGCACAATAGGTACCAGATGAGTCACAGGCACCTTGGATTTTTAGTTTGCATCTAAATAAGCACTTTATATTTGCAAAAGGCTTTCCAGTGATTTGCAAAAAGCTTTCTCCTTCAACAATTCCAGGAGGGGAGTGCACAGAACTAAAGATTTATTGAGCCCCCTGTCTGACCAAATAAAAGGTGGTGAAAAGCAGCCCTCACAGAACCCTGGGGCTCATTAAACCCAGGCGGGGAGTTAGAGTCAGGCCTTCCCACCCAGGCTGGCCTCTTTCCTCCTGGACTGCTAGCTTCCTAAAGAGCAACACTTGTCAGTTCACACACACACACGCACACATACACACACACACACGTGCGCACGCACACACACACACACACACACACACACACCTCCCACCCTGGGACAGGGCTCTGAGATAGAAATCAAATTCTGTGAGGTACTGAGACCCTCAGTAAGTGGCAAGCCATATAGATCCCGCTCAAAGAACCAGAAGCCAGATGGGGCATCGCAGTTATCTCATTTGAGGAGAAATGCTAACCACTTGCCTGAAGTCCTGCAGCCTCTTAGCACACGTGTGGGACTAGAAATGGAATCTCCTGACTTTCCACCAGCACTCTATTACAATAAGTGATACCTTCATTGATGAAGGTGAGGATGGGGCACCAAGGCAGGGGCTTCTGGCCACGCTGGCCGCTCATCTTTAGAGATGCAATTTTCT